CAGTTCAGGCCTTCGACTTCGATAACTTCGTTGTGGATATTAGAAGCCTGTATTAAAACATATCGTCACTGTATGATAATAACATCGTATGTCAAAAAACCATTTATTTTTTATTCTTAGACTCTTGTAATTTAACTGCTAAAATCATGAAGTAAGGACTTATTTATGTTATTAATTAATAAGTCCTTTTTACCATCTAAAAATATGGACAAAAACACATATAAATATATTTACAGAGCATTTAATTATTGTAATGAAATAAAAAAAACTTATAAAATAAGAAAACATTGATGATTCGGCCTTCATAAAGGGACCGTGAAACGGCGTCTTCCATTATTGGTAAATTCCCCAAAACGCATTCCGTGCTTTATTTGGTAAGATTACAGGAATTAATAATAATAATAAATCGTTTATTTGCCAAGATAGTGGTACAATTAGATCGATTAATTATAAAAATCCGCACAATCAGCCATATATAGGCATGCAAATGTCGTATTAATTTGATATGATATTTTCCTATTAATCCATATATGTCATACCGAAGACCAGACATAGTAATTACGTCTAACCAATACTTTGTCGGTCGAAGTGTAGTCCCCTAAGGTAGAATGCCTAGAGCGACAGCTGAGAGATACACTAATATTTTGGACGCTTACAAATTGGGCGGCAAATAATTACGTACTAGCAACATCAATGTGTACATAACAAATTGTATATTTACACGTCCAGTTTTCATAATTTTATTAAAGATGATCTCACACCTTCGCAGTAATTTGTCACGGTATGAAGTCATAATTATTTTATTAAACTTCAAAAATAATTATCGTCTTTATAAGATTTCCTCCAAAATATCGCTATTATTAATAAAACCGTTTTAAAAAGAACATCATATGTTTTGCAAATTTATTGCCACCTCGACCCGTATTTGATATACAAATTTTCCTTCAAAATGCGATCTAGTATTTTTCTTAAAAGTTCAAACACCCATTAAATTACAATTAATTACGTCTTTTGCTAATTGTTCATACTCTGTGACGTCTTGAAGTCTCACCACAAACAAGACGTAAAACCGAACAACAATCGTAATAAAAAAATCACAATATTTATTATTTTTATTTTTTGAGAACTAAACCAAAACAAATGCATCGTTAAAATAAAATAAGTGTATGCGATACAAATCCTATCACATAACTCTTCTACTTCTGTTTTGGCGAATCCTATAGAGTTTCCACATGGCTATGGAATTTAAATATCTACTGCTTATAAGCATTGTCTGTACATTTCGTATCCGTCACATAACTTTGCGCGCTGTGGCGCTACAACCTTTTTCGGTCTGGGCCACAGATTTCTGTATCTGTTTCATGATCATTTCTCAACCTAATACGCAAGTAGGCGATCAGCCTCCTGTGCCTGACAGACGCCGTCGACTTTTTGACTAAGGCAAGCCGGTTTCCTCACGATGTTTTCCTACTGCTACGAGCAAATGTTGAATGCACGCACATAAGCAGTTTATTTGTGGACAGCCGGGGATCGAACCTACGACCTCACGGATGGTAAATCGCACTCTAAAGCCACTAGGCCAACACTGCTCAGAAAGAACCTAGTATATGATATATTATTAAGTATTGATCAATTTTATTCTTCCTCATAAATCCCATCCGGTATTATTCAACGGAATATTATGATGACAATTTATCATTACACTTTCACTTGTGTAACCGTATATTTTTAACAGCTAACAAAAACAATATAATTAGTATACTAGTATAATGCTGAAGGTTCTGGTTCGAAAACTTTTGAGTGGTATATGGTAAATATATCCTAATTACCGTGAGGACAGAGCACAGCTAAAGTTATAACAGAAAATTGCGTTGACACGTGTGCAATTATTCTTAGATTAGATTCTTAGATAGCTGTAGAAAAATTTGATTGTAAAAACAGATGATTCCCCCACCCAAGAAATGCACAAAATATATGTGTTTAGAATAATTTACCTATTGATAGTAATAAAATTAGAAATTATTGTAATTTGTTAAAAAAAATTTCTCTTCGCTCCGTATAGCGAAAACTCTCTATAACGAAAATGCTCTGTCCCTTGAAATTAGTTATAAAGAGTTTACACTATGTATAAAGTCGCCATGATGGTTGGTTAAAGAGTACATTAAAATAAACAACTGCTTCAATAAAAACACTAACCAAAAATAAAACAAGAAACTCCAACTAACTGAAATTAGAAAATTGCTAAGGCCAACGTCGTTTGCGATACCAAGGGCCAGAACCAGTCTGTTGCACAGATTCCCGTTAACAAAAAGGTTGCGCTTACTGAATGCTGTCTCCGACACTATCGACATCTTTACCATCGAGAATTCACACTAGCGATATTGTGTATCTTATGTATTTAATAATATATATTTTATTGGATTTCATTTCTTTTTTTCGACATTATAGTATTGGTTAAGTACTGATAGTGTATGTATTTTTTTTTTTTTATTTACAATCAAGTACAGTACAGTAAATACAGTATTTAAAAGTTTTCTTAACCTACAAAGTATTAATATAAATAATTGAAATTAAAACAAATTTAAAAAGTTTGGTCCCGTGTACCTTTAACGCTGGCAGCATTGCCTCGCTGTATTGCGATACTAATTCATCGAGCCAGGAAAGTGCCAGCTCTGGAGTCACGGGTACTTATCTACTAGGCGCCAACTTAAATCTTTAATAAGCGCCTGTGCACTTGAACCCCACGGCCCAAGAGTCTCTACTCCAAAGGGAACCAAATCGAAGTTGGAGGAAAGACTCTTATATTTGTGCCGTTTATTATTTTATGTATTTTTTGTGAATAAATATAGACTGGTAACAAAACGCAACAACACAGAGGCTTAAAAAAACTCTCTGATTCTCTGAATAAGTTTGAGCAATCGCAAAAACCGGTCCAAATTAAGAAACACCATATTGTTTGTTATTTAGGCATCATTAGTAACTATTAATATTCATTAATAAGAATAATCGGTATATCTTAACATCCGCTAAATTATTTGGAGACAGGCAAAAAATTATATCCTGTTACGTAGTATTTGTTACAAAATTGGTACAAGCCATTATTCAAACCGTCTGCCGCCACCGAGAATGAAGCGGGCCATAGACGGACCGCATGTTGCAGTCAAGACCGACTGCAATATGCGGTTTGCTCAGGAACTGCTCGAGCGGTCCGTGTATTGCGAATATGAATGTTTAATTTGGAACTGCAGTCCCGGTTAAACGTCTATGGCCCGCTTTAGTGGTAAACGTTTGCGTGTAAGAAAGACAAAAATCCATTGGTAAAGAACCAGGGATGAGGAGGAGTCGCACCCTTAATTTATTATATTATTTTATACTACGACGCTAGAGCTGCCTCCGCAAACTTCGTTTTACCTTTGTTTTTTTTGACTGAGCCTACCGTTAGTAGCTACAAACATTTAGATTTGATACTCCATAGAGACTGTTCTCTTTTCCAGAATGAAGCCCTAAGTACTAAATTAAATTAAAATTTTCTCTCCAAAACTTCAGAGTTCAAGGAATAAATAAAAAAAAGTCAAATTAGTTCAAGCTACGTCGAGTTTTGCGCTAAGCAACACATTTTGCGATTCATTTATATTTATACATGCTTTCGTGATAATTATAATATTCTGGAACATTTTTTGTTCTGTCATCAATAGTATTCGCAGCGCATGCGATGATAGATATTTTATAGGCATTTCTTTACACCTTGGGTAACATTATTGTAGTTTTAGTCCTTATCCTTGAACCTCCTTAGGATCCTTATTTTTCTTGCAATTAAAATAGGCTATATTAATCAGTAATAATGTAGCATTCAAATGCTGAAAGAATTTTTAAAATCGGTCCATTACTTTTTAAGCCAATTTACAAACATACTTACATACAAATCTTTTCTCTTTATAATATTAGTATAGAAGTATAGATAGATTAATCGATTCATACAAAATATTTTAAGTTAATTTATTTAATACTACAAAAGGTATAATTATCACGTTCACTAGCGTAAAACAACACTAGGGGTGCAATAATTGGTGTAGTCAATCGATATAGCCTCCACGTGTTGAGCTTTTGTAAGCTTTACTGCAACTCAAGTTATGAATAGATAGAAATTGCTTTGTTCACGATAGATAGAATCTCTTAAACGTAAAATGTTTAAACCGTTTATAGACATGTACGAAGTATGACTTTCCAAAAATAATTTTCCGCCGTGATTCGAATCCAGTTCCTTCGCCTAATGCGTAATATATAATACTCTGTCTGACACGTATACCTTGGACATGAGACTGGCTGCAAACACCTTCAATTGAAGTATTACTCCTGGCTTGATTCACTAAACTTTATAATTTGTACAGACACAATTTGTGCATATTAGAACAGACTACAAATCTAAGTAATATCATTTTTTGAACACGTCCTTTATTGTGTTGACGTCGAGTAGAAAACGGCGTGTGATGGAAGGAAAAAAATTGTGGCTTCGTTAGGGAGTGGATGGGAAGAAGAGCTGCATCTGGCACAGGAAAAAACACACTTCAAAAGACTGACGGCCAACCTCCACTAATGGAGAGACCAAAAGAAGAAACTTAAAAAAGGTGTAACACCGAGTTTCTCAGTCTGTACAACACGGGCAACTGTGTAGGTTTCTTGTGAGTACTCGTAGTATTCATTGTTAAAATTACGTTATAAGGTGCTCTGTATACCCAGGATATAAAAATAAAAACGCGTGTGTACTTATGTACACGCATTAGAAGTTATACTTCTTAGGCGTAACCAGATAAAAATCATTTCAAAAATTGTATTCTACGTTTGTATAAAAAACGACACTAACAATAGAAAAAACTAAAGTGATGACCATAGCTAACTTCAGGATGTCGGTTTTTTGTGACGGTGTGCGCGCGCATCGTAAAAATTTACTCTCATCATTCTTCATACAATTTTAGGTTTCTTAACATCATAATACCACTCACCATGATTAATCCGGAACTTAATATGTTTCTCCAGGAGATTGCTATTAACAAGTTTCGATATCTCGTCGATAGATAGCGCTGCGCTGGTGCTGCATCTTGCGTCGGGACATGACACCTCGTACGCGCCGTTACATACCTCGAATTCCACGTATGACTTCATACACTGTAATAAGAAAACAAATATTACCTGCATTTTAATCCTATATCAAGGTTTCGTAAAATCATTTATTCATATAGATAAAAAAATGTACACTTATGAACGTCAAAAAATAAATATATATGAAAAGCTTCTAATTTTACATTTACTGCCAGTTCTCTAATCAAGAGCGTAGAACGAATGAGAAGAACTGGCAATAAACTCTCTGCCACTCTTTTTAATCGCCAGGTTTTTTGTTTACACATCGTTTGTAAGGAGCTGCAACCATTTCACCATGTTCCACATGACATCTTTAGTAATAAATAATAATAAATTCAATTAAAAACAAAGATTTGTCCTCTATCAGCAGGAGGCATGGTGAAATAAGACCACGCACTTACATTCTCGTGGGAACAACACGCAAATACATAGTCAAAACAATTAACATCACCGCATACACGAATCCAAGTACGACCAGTCACAAGTAGCACCCGTTCACGAACGTAAACGTTATCATATTACTTTTTCTATTTAAATATATGTGCCAATATGCAGATTAACGTAAAAGTACAAGGGAAACGTTAATAATTAAGGAACCCATTTTACCATACAAACAAATTGAGGTAAAATGAGTCAATAAATTTAACACCCTTGCAAATTCATCCATACTAGACATCGGTGTAAGGCGGCAACGCCATGCATTGGCGTGCTAGTTCCGTAGGATCAAAAGAATACCTTGAATCGGGAGGTAAATATTATAGCTAAGTTCAGTTGTGACGAAATCATAACAATTAAGATTAATAGGATGCGATTATTTACTTTTTAGATGTTCAGAAGTTTCGTATGAATATTGAATTAAATCTCAACTATATCTAGTTTGCCGTGTAGCCTATGATAAATATATCTTTGTGATTTATAATAGTATGATAAAAAAAATCGTTTTGCAATTATTTGTTCTTTGTTTTATCAATTGTGGTCAGTAATAAAAAAATGAATCCGTGCTACAACCTCTTTAGGTCTGGGCCTCAGATTTCTGTACCTGTTCCATGATCATTTTGAAATCTAATAGGCAAGTAGGTGATCAGCCTCCTGTGCCTGACACACGCCGTCGACTTTTAGGGGCTAAGACATGTCGGTTTCCTCACGATGTTTTTCCTTCACCGTACGAGCAAGTGTTAAATGCGCATATAGAAAGAAAGTCCTTTGGTGCACAGCCGGGGATCGAACCTTAGACTTCAGGTATGAGAGTCGCACGCTGAAGCCACTAGGCCACCACTGCACTGGTCAGTAATAAACGCTTACTTATAAATTTATCACTGTTTACGACACATCAACACTTTAGGAAATTCGATGAGGAATATTGGATTGCGAACTGGAAATTCGCATCAACTATTCACTTGTACGAGATAAGCGGAAATAGGTCAATTCAGGTATGTACTAGGAAAATAGGCTTTACGAGAATTCCTCTCGCCTCTATTGAAGTAGAAATTGTATCAATATCAAAGTATTCCTTTTAAACACACAAAATAGAAGGGATTTATTTATTTATGTAACTGTAAAAGGGCCGGAGGCTCACCTGGTGTTAAGTGATACGCCGCCCACGGATGTGTGTGTGATACATTGCCAGAAGGCTCGCAAGTGCGTTGCCGGGTAAACCACAAGTGTGATATAAATAAAAATTATGATTAAATAATACTTCATATATTTGTGGGTTGGAATTAAAAATTTATTTAGCGCTAATAAAATTAATACTACATACATAGGTTTATACCAAGTGTAATTAGTGCACCCTCTTTGAACTATATTAAAAATAGGTTGGATAATTTCTCCAAATCCGAAAAAACCGCGCGCATCATCTTATTAAGGTGCTAGTGTGTTTATCTATATTATACTTATCCAATTTATAACATTCTCGTGACACAATTTTCGTTCCCATACTCTTCCGAAACGGCTCGACCTATTCTTACGAAATTTTTTATACATATTCAGTAAGTCTGAGAATCGGCTACTATCTTTCAAACCCCTGAATGTTAAGGGTAGTCCACCCCTAAATTTTGTTGTTAAATTTTTTTATGATACAGCATACAAAAATACATACAACCCCTAATTTTCATCTACCCTCTACGATCAACCCTTATTTTTTATTTGTTAGTTAAGAACTTATAAATTGAACTCTGAGGTTTATGTAGAGAAATTTTCACAGAAACACCTAAAAACTTTTCATTCCGGAAAACCGAACAGTCTCTGGGGTAGCATAGCAAAACGTTCCACGTTGGTAAGTATGTTCAAACTTTGATATTATTGTTCCCCCCTTTGGAGTAGAGACTCTTTGGCCGTGCTGTTGAAGTGCAGAGACGCTTACTAAAGATTTCAGTTAGCGCCAGGTAGATAGTACCGGTGACCCCAGAGCTGCTTTCCTCGCTCAACGAATAAGTATCGCAATACAGCTTGGAAATGCTGCCAGCGTTATAGGTACACTGCTACAAGGACTTAAAGGTTAATGTATGGAAAGACATATATCTAGTTCTTCCCTATATGCATTTTAATTTGTAACTACTTATTTATTTGTTATTGTTTATATAACTTATAGAAGACAATAGATTATAAATAATTATTGTTTAAAGTTAAATCTAAAATGTACTAAATAGTTATAAATAAAATTAATTTGTATTAATATTAATTTATATCTTTAAACCGTTTTTGCTTAACCGTCCACGGGTTATTAGGTTAGGTGCAAAATAACTCCTATCATGCGATACCTCAATAAAATCAAATAAGCTCCAAGCCCTACCCGTAAACAAATACGCCCGTAATTAGCCAAATTAAACACCGTCTAATATATAAGAGAAATAAAGAATGTATTAACACATACAACTCACTTTCACACCATCACAGGCGAATTAGTTAAATGTATTGGCGCGCACCGTTACACAAAATTAACAGAATGAAGTTGCTCATGGAAGATGCACGGCATTGGACATAATTTAAAAACAACATTCGAATAATAATAGAATTTATGTTACACTTAATGTAAGAGAATAATAATAAATATTTATTTAATTTTTCAAATGTAAACTGAACTTTATTGACTATAATGACTCCTTTTCCATTCATTGGTTATTTAATTGTAATTAATTATTGCTTGCTTGCTAGCTTGCAATCAAAAACTATTTTTAATAATGCCAAGAAGTATAACTTCTTACGCACGTACATAAGTAGGTACACGCACCCTTTTTTTTCTTTGTAAATGTTTGAACCTTTTTGTAAATATATTCCATCTTTGGATATATCTTTAGTATATTTTTTTTGTTGTATATATGTTAGCTATAGCAGTATTGGTTAAGTGGCTTCAGCGTGCGACTCGCATACCTGAGGTCGTAGGTTCGATGCCCGGCCGTGCATTTAACATTTGCTCTGAGACCTAAAGAGTATGTAGCGCCACTAATTCATTTAATTTTATTTATATATGTAAGCTGTATGATTACGAAATAAATAGATTTGTATTTGATGAAATTGACAGAACCAGGAAACATACCTTGCGGATATTGTGTACAAAAAGGTATGTAAAATACATTGGTTTATTCTCTATTATGTTAATTTACACTCCTTGGCACTTTCTGATTTGTTTTCTAACGGTAATCAATCTGAAGGCTGACGGCTTTATCGCTTGTCGATCTTTTCCCAAAAAAAGAGTTACACAGAGGGGGGGTGGGGCGGGGCTGGGTTGGGGGGGGGGGGGGGGGGGGAAGCGAAAAATCCCGGAACCCATCCCCCCCCGGGGGGGGGAAAAACGGGAAAAAGGGGGGGGGGGGGGGGGGGGGACGCCCCCCCACGGGGGGGGGGGGGGGGGGGGGGGGGGGGGGGGGGGGGGGGGGGGTTTGTGTTTTTTTGGGGGAAAAAAAAAAAAAATTGGTTGTTTTGGGGGGGTGGTTTTTTTTTTTCCCCCCTTTCCTTTTTTTCTGGGGGGGGGGTTTTTTTTTTTTTTTTTTTTTTTTTTTTTTTTTTTTTTGGTGGGGTTTGGGTTTTTTTTTTTTTTTTTTTTTCCCCCCCCCCCCTTCCCCCCTTTTTGGGGGGTGGGTTTTTTTGTTTTTTAATTACCCCCACCCCCCCCCCCCCTTTTTTTTTTTTTTTTTTTTTTTTTTTTTTTTTTTTTTTTTTTTTTTTTTTTTTTTTTTTTTTTTTTTTTTTTTTTTTTTTTTTTTTTTTTTTTTTTGTCAAATACGATAAGAAAAGGGGGGAAAAAGAGTTACACAGAGCCCCGCCCTACCCGTACTGTAATTATATAATAATCTGTGGTTTAGAGTAATGTTTAGCTATTTGCTTTAAAGTATGTTTCGGTTTAAGTGTGTTTAATACACAGCCTTGCATTTTATGTTGATAATAAAAGTCACCACTGACCGCCATTGCCATAACTCATTTTATTTACTTGTTTTAATTAAATATTTTATGCAGGTATAATCTTTTATCAATATATTTTATAAATTTAACACGAAAAAGCGATTATTCTGGTATGCGGGATAATTATGCACTCTTAAAGACATGCCCACATCACGTAAAAAATCCTCCTAATCAAAATAACATTATAACAAGATACACATAGCGATAGTACCTTTTAAATATTATGAACGAAGATTCATGTCATCGTTTCCATTACATATATTACTTTGCGTTCATTCAAACGGAATGACCGCGATAATGTCTTCGCAAATTGTGGGAAATAACATTCGCCGGGGTGAATTCTCCCCATTTGATTTTTACTACATCCTGTTATTCAAATTACGAACACGCTCTACTTCCGGTATGTGTTTCATGTACTAAAATTTAGTATCAAATAATGTACGAACCTGTATTTTCAATTCTATATAGTAGGATGCTAGGAAAATATTGTAGTTAATGAGGAAATAATAGACAATATTTTATGCGCATAAAATGCTACCGTACAAAACAAAGTATAATTAAAGCCCTATCACAGCACGAATTCCTGTGTCAGTGTCTCGGGATGGACTGCGTCCTTTTTTTTTTTTTTATCGTCAGGAAATGTTTTTACGCATATCCCT